AGACAGACTCTTATGGCCACCACTCCCAAGAGAGGAAGCCAGATTGGCCCAGGCTGGGTCAGGTGTTTATTCCTGGACCAACTGGCTACAGCCAAGGTCATTGTCATGAAGCAGAAACAAGGCACATTAGGAGTGTCTCTGCAGAGATGGGCAGACATTTTGACAGTGTCAGTCTTATAGCAGTGACTTGTGAGCAGGACATGGTAGTAGACTCTTTGGAGAATGCTGCGGACCTTCCCAGGATGACCAATGAATGAATGGCTCAATATAATTAGAGCAGGAATGATGATTTTTTAATGGGCACAGCTTACATGGTTGTTCTTTGCTCTTAGGAGATCAAACAGGAAGGAATGCGCTTAATTAAAATAGAAGAATCTTTGACTAGAATTTGATGGATCTTGGTGAGACCATCTGGTATACCCCTTCTGTCTACCATCAGGTAAAATAGTTATAGCCTCAGATTGAAGGTTGAGGAACAGTAATTACCACGTGACTAAGAGGGGGTCAGAAAACAGGCTCTCTTGCTTCTTGGTATAATTTTTTCCCTCTGTGGACAACTTCCTTGGTATCTAGGACAGGCTAACAATATAATGCAAAAAATAATAAATTGGACAAATAAATAAAAACATAACTAACAGAGTATGTGTGATTGCTGCCAACAGGCTCTCCGCTAATAAATCTAGTGAGATAAGTATTATTATCATCCCCATTTTAGAGATACAAGTTGAAATAACTTAACCCACGGTCACAATGAATGAACAGAACTACATTCGAGTCTAGCCTAGCCTCACAGTCTGTACATTTAACCTTGATCCCATTGATACTTTTCTAACACTGTATATTTAGAACAACTGCTCCACCATCTCTGCTGAGACATCAGACCTGTCATCGTTCTGATATCATGTGACCCCTTTCACCTCAGCTGATTGGCCAGAGGAAAGCACCTGACCCAAGGACAACCAGTTCATTGGCTGGCTGGTAGCCTATGGGGAGGTCTGGTCTGGAACTTTCTTTTTTTTTTTTATTGCATTTTAGGTTTGGGGGTACATGTGCAGAACATGCAAGATAGTTGCCTTGGTACACACTTGGCAGTGTGTTTTGCTGCCTTCCGCCCCTTCACCCACATTTGGCATTTCTCCTCAGGCTATCCCTTCCCAGCTCCCCCACCACCCGCTGTCCCTCCCCTATTCCCCCAATAGACCCCAGTGTGTAGTACTCCCTTCCCTGTGTCCGGGTGTTCTCATTTTTCATCACCCGCCTATGAGCGAGAACATGCGGTATTTTATTTTCTGTTCTTGTGTCAGTTTGCTGAGAATGATGTTCTCCAGATTCATCCATGTCCCTATAAAGGACACGAACTCATCATTTTTGATTGCTGCATAATATTCCATGGTGTATATGTGCCATATTTTCCCAGTCCAGTCTATCATTGATGGGCATTTGGGTTGGTTCCAGGTCTTTGCTATTGTAAACAGTGCTGCAATGAACATTCGTGTGCATGTGTCCTTATAGTAGAACGATTTATAGTCCTTTGGTTATATACCCAGTATTGGGATTGCTGGGTCAAATGGAATTTCTATTTCTAAGGCCTTGAGGAATTACCACATTGCCTTCCACAATGGTTGAACTAATTTACACTCCCACCAACAGTGTAAAAGTGTTCCTATTTCTCCACATCCTCTCCGGCATCTGTTGTCTCCAGATTTTTTAGTGATCGCCATTCTAACTGGCGTGAGATGGTATCTCAATGTGGTTTTGATTTGCGTCTCTCTAATGACCAGTGATGATGAACATTTTTTCATATGTTTGTTGGCCTCATGTATGTCTTCTTTTGTAAAGTGTCTGTTCATATCCTTTGCCCATTTTTGAATGGGCTTGTTCTTTTTTTTCTTGTAAATCTGTTTGAGTTCTTTGTAAATTCTGGATATCAGCCCTTTGTCAGATGGGTAAACTGCAAAAATTTTTTCCCATTCTGTTGGTTGCCAATTCACTCTAGTGATTGTTTCTTTTGCTGTGCAGAAGCTGTGGAGTTTGATTAGGTCCCATTTGTCTATTTTGGCTTTTGTTGCCACTGCTTTTGGTGTTTTGGTCCTGAAGTCCTTGCCTACTCCTATGTCCTGAATGGTTTTGCCCAGATTTTCTTCTAGGGTTTTTATGGTGCCAGGTCTTATGTTTAAGTCTTTAATCCATCTGGAGTTAATTTTAGTGTAAGGTGTCAGGAAGGGGTCCAGTTTCTGCTTTCTGCACATGGCTAGCCAGTTTTCCCAACACCACTTATTAAACAGGGAATCCTTTCCCCATTGCTTGTTTTTGTCAGGTTTATCAAAGATTGTATGGTTGTAGATATGTTGTGTTGCCTCTGATGCCTCTGTTCTGTTCCATTGGTCTATATCTCTGTTTTGGTATCAGTACCATGCTGTTTTGATTACTGTAGCCTTGTAGTATAGTTTGAAGTCCGGTAGTGTGATGCCTCCTGCTGTGTTCTTTTTGCTTAGAATTGACTTGGCTATACGGGCTTTCTTTTGGTTCCATATGAAGTTCATGGTGGTTTTTTTTAGTTCTGTGAAGAAAGTCAATGGTAGCTTGATGGGGATAGCGTTGATTCTGTAAATTACTTTGGGCAGTATAGCCATTTTCATGATATTGATTCTTCCTAACCATGAACATGGAATGTTCTCCATCTGTTTGTGTCCTCTCTTATTTCGTTGAGCAGTGGCTTGTAGTTTTCCTTGAAGAGGTCCCTTACGTTCCTCGTGAGTTGTATTCCTAGGTATTTTATTCTTTTTGTAGCAATAGTGAATGGCAGTTTGTTCTTGATTTGGCTCTCTTTAAGTCTGTAATTGGTGTATAGGAATGCTTGTGATTTTTGCACATTGATTTTATATCCTGAGACTTTGCTGAAGTTGCTTATCAGTTTCAGGAGTTTTTGGGCTGAGGTGATGGGGTCTTCTAGGTATACTATTATGTCGTCTGCAAATAGAGACAATTTGGCTTCCACCTTTCCTATTTGAATACCCTTTATTTCTTTTTTCTTGCCTGATTGCTCTGGCTAGAACTTCCAGTACTATATTGAATAGGAGTGGTGAAAGAGGGCATCCTTGTCTAGTGCTGGATTTCAAAGGGAATGCTTCCAGTTTTTGCCCATTCAGTACGATATTGCCTGTTGGTTTTGTAAATAGCTTTTATTATTTTGAGATACATTTTATTAATTCCGAGTTTATTGAGAGTTTTTAGCCTAAAGGGCTGTTGAATTTTGTCTAAGGCCTGCTCTGCCTCAATTGAGATAATCATGTGGTTTTTGTTTTTGGTTCTGTTTATGTGGTGAATTACGTTTATAGACTTGTGTATGTTGAACCAGCCTTGCATCCCCAGGATGAATCCTACTTGATTATGATGGATAAGCTTTTTGATTTGCTGTTGCAATCGGCTTCCCAGTATTTTATTGAAGGTTTTTGCATCTATGTTCATCATGGATATTGGCCTGAAGTTTTCTTTTCTTGTTGGGTCTCTGCCGGGTTTTGGTATCAGGATGATGTTGGTCTCATAAAATGATTTGGGAAGGATTCCCTCTTTTTGGATTATTTGGAATAGTTTCAGAAGGAATGGTACCAGCTCCTCTTTGTGTGTCTGGTAGAATTCGGCTGTGAACCCATCTGGACCTGGTCTTTTTTTGTGTGGTAGGCTCTTAATTGCTGCCTCGAGTTCAGACCTTGTTATTGGTATATTCATAGTTTCGGCTTCCTCCTGGTTTAGGCTTGGGAGGACACAGGTGTCCAGGAATTTATCCATTGCTTCTGGGTTTACTAGTTTATGTGCATAGAGTTGTTTGTAATATTCTCTGATGGTTTGGATTTCTGTGGAATCTGTGGTGATTTCCCCTTTATCTTTTTTTATTGCATCTATTTGGTTGTTCTCTCTTTTCCTTTTTATCAGTCTGGCTAGTGGTCTATTTTGTTGATCTTTTCAAAAAACCAGCTCTCGGATTTATTGATTTTTTGAAGGGTTTTTCGTGTCTCTATCTCCTTCAGTTCTGCTCTGGTCTTAGTTATTTCTTGCTTTCTGCTAGGTTTTGAATTTTTTTGATCTTGCTCCTCTAGCTCTTTCAATTTTGATGATAGGGTGTCAATTTTGGATCTCTCCACTCTTCTCATATGGGCATTTATTGCTATATATTTTCCTCTGGAGACTGCTTTAAATGTGTCCCAGAGATTCTGGTATGTTGTGTCTTTGTTCTCATTAGTTTTAAAGAACTTCTTTATTTCTGCCTTCATTTCATTGTTTATCCAATCAACATTCAAGAGCCAGTTGTTCAATTTCCATAAAGCTGTGCAGTTCTCAGTTAGTTTCTGGATTCTGAGTTCTAACTTGATTGCACTATGGTGTGAGAGACTGTTAGTTATTATGTCAGTTGTTTTACCTTTGCTGAGGAGTGCTTTACTTCCAATTATGTGGTCAATTTTAGAGTAGGTGTGTTGTGGTGCTGAGAAGAATGTATATTGTGTGGATTTGGGGTGGAGAGTTCTGTAAATGTCTATCAGGTTTGCTTGTTCCAGGTCTGAGTTCAAGCCCTGGATATCCTTGTTAATTTTCTGTCTGGTTGATCCGTCTAATATTGACAGTGGAGTGTTAAAGTCTCCCACTATTATTGTGTGGGAGTCTCTTTGTAAGTCATAAGAACTTGCCTTATATATCTGGGTGCTCCTGTATTTGGTCCATATATATTTAGGATCATTAGCTCTTCTTGTTGTATCTATCCTTTTACCATTACGTAATGACCTTCTTTGTCTCTGGAGCTTTCTTAACAGGGGTAAGGGTAAATACATTAGGTTCCTCAGAGTCGCTCTTTCTCTCTCTCACTTTCTTTCTTTTTCTTTTTACTCTCTTTCTCTTTTTTCTCTCTTTCTTTCTTTTCTTCCTCTCTCTCTTTCTTGCTTTCCTTCTTTCTTTTTCCTGGTACATGTGCACTTTATTGAATGCCATTGTAGAAAAGCATGTGAGGATAAAGGGCTGATACAGGTCTCAGCTCGGGGACTGGGTGAGGAATGGAAGGTGGAGTACATGGGAAACAGGTGATGGGCAGAGCCCCCTGGCCTGGATGATTCCTCTTGATCTATTGATAGACTTGCAAGATCAGTACTGGGATGATGATCAGCAGAATGGTCATGATGATGCCCAAAATCAGGCCCCAGATGTTCAGGCACTTGGCGGTGGAGGCATAGGCCTGGGCCCTGGTCAGTTCACCAACCATCTTCCTGTCCCTAGACTTCACGGAGTAGGCGAACGCTATGAAGCCCAGGCAGCAGGAGTTTATGAAGAGGGTGTTGAACAGGGACCAGAGGACACCGTTAGGCACAGAGGTCTCTCTGTGGATGTGGATCATGGTGAATGTCGGGGTAGCCGGGTTGTGGGGTGCCCCCAAGGCATCCACCTCATGCTCCTCCTTCAGCATCTCATAGCTGGGGGGATGGTCGGTGTTGGCGGGACTGAAGAAGGTTTGGACAGTGTGGTCCATGCTGTCCAGGGAAGACCAGCCATGGTCAGGTTGCTGAAATAGTTCTCCGAGTCTCTTTCTTTAAAATTTAAGCTGAAGATATAGAAATTGAGAGTGTAACAGTTAGTAGTAGTGACAGAGTCACATTAGTAATCAACTGCTTCAGAAGGTACAAGAGAATGGCATCTTAAGTCCTGGTCTTCCTGTTGGTTTTTGCAACACGTGTAACCTTTGGAAAGCCTGGGTTTTGGAGCTTTTCTAGTTTTGTGAGAATTCTCTTTCTTACAGATACAAGTTCCTTGATTTAAATTTGACGTAGCCCTCAAATTTGAGGGGGTCCTGTTGAGCCTCAGATCCTTGCTAGTGTGCTTCTCAAAGGCAGGAGGTTTTCACTGTGCAAGGAGGAACAACTTATATGTCAGATCAGAATGGAGGCAATTAAGTGACGAAAGGTGTAAGATTACTGTGCCAGGTGAGCGATGAAGTGATGCCCTGTCTGTCTATCTATTTGTCTGTTATCTATCTATCTATCTGGAATCACCAATAGCTGGAAGAAAGAGTGAGATATCTGCCTGGTCAAAGTTGAGAAGATAAACTGGTATTCTGTGATTCACTGAAAAGGGCTTGTCTGGAAACTGAATGACTCTGTGTGAACTTCAGTATCTATGAGTGCTTGATGAACTATAATTCATCTTGGTCAAGACTGTTTGGGCTCTGTATAATAGAAACTCAACTCAAACAAACAATCAAAAAAGGGAAAGAAGAAAAAGAAGAGGAAGAAGAAGGGGTAGGAGAAGGAGAGAAGAGGGAAGGAATGAAGGAAGGAACAAAGTAAGGGAGGGAGGGAAGAAAAGGAAGATAGATCAAGAAATCTTTTGGGAGTCAGTTCAGAAATGGCGGTATCTGTGCTGTCCAACAGAACTTTCTATCATACTAGAACTCTCCTGTATCTGGTGCCATACAGTGCAGTAACCACTAGCCATGCATGGCTGTTAAACACTTGAAATAGGAATCATGTGATTGAGGAGCTGACATTTTAATTTTATTTAGTTTTAGTTAATTCAAATTTAGATCTAAATAGCTACACATGGCTAATGGCTACTGTATTGGACAACCCAAATCTAGATCCCACATTGTGCTGTATCCCACTCTCTTTCGCTGTATCCCACATTGTGCTGTATCCCTCTCTCTCAACAGCTTTTCTTAGCTCATGGATCCATGTCTGAACCAACCGTGTTCATGGAGATTGGGAACTGTACCCAGGTCTGGGTCACATGTCTGACCCCATGAACAAGGTTCACCTTGTCTGAACCACATGCTATGGGTCCCTAGTGGAAAGAGGATTTCTGTATGAGAAGTAGAGGAAAGAGAGGTAGCTGGACTAAAAACTCTGTCCCTCAGAGACCGTCCTCAAGGTGCCACATACCTTGCTGAAGAAGAGAAAGAACGGACGGGGACAGGAAGACCTGACAAATGTTCATGGGGACCCTTGGTGCTAGACACTGTGTTGGATGTTGGGGATGCTAATAAAGAAATCATGTCAACAGCAAGACAGGAAGACTCTCTGCTTGTTCTCAGTCTGATAGAGGAAGCTGACTCCTAAAGAAACAGTCACAAAACAGGGCAAAACATCCCAAAGTGTAGATGAAGGAACACAGCATTATCAGGACAACCAATGTTGTGTAAATTTAGCAAACTGCTGATGTGCTGAGAAGTGATTTCTGTATTACCCCCTCCTTAAAAGAGCATTAAGAAAATTGCTTCAGTTCTCTCCCTTAAAAAAAAAAAAAAAAAAAAAAGGAGGGCTTAAAAAAAATCAGAAAACAAAGTCCAATCTCAGAGAGGGGCCAGAGTCTGGTGGATGGCCAGGCATGAGTTGTCTAAAAATAGAGTGGAGGCTGATTAATGAATGTCTTAAAACAGAGATCAAACCCAGAAGCTGTACCAATGCAGCTGACATGCATTCCTCTGGTGTTTCACACTCCTTTAGAGAATTGCTCAAAACTGGGTTACCCAAGAACTTGGCTCACATGCCTGACGCTCCACTCAGCTAGAGAGGGAGCGATTCTCGGGTAACACTGGCCGAAGGTAGCATGGGGTAGAGGCCTCCAGTCCCCTTGGCCTTCCACCCCAGTTTCAGTTCTGCCTGGGCAGTGCCTCTCCTCATTCCACCAAGCCCTCTGTGGGGTCAGGATGGTCTGCAGCCAGCTTCACTATCTCCCAGAAATCTGCCCTGGACTTGGTTAGCCTAGACCTCTGGGTGTGGGAACCCCAGGCAGCGGGATGTCAGGTTACTGAGGGATGCTTACTGACTATTAACCCACCTTATTCCTCCAGCAAGCCTGTGAGCTAGATCCCTATCAGCTCCAGTTTACGGATGGGAGAGATGAGGCACCCAGATGTTGATATCTTACACATGGTCACAGAGTTCATAGACGGGGAACTGGGATTTGAACCCAGGAACTTGGTTCCAGAGTCCCCACGCCTGACCACCTCCCACACTGTCCCTCCAGGTATCCTATGGCTAGGCACTGTCCCTATCCTCATTTTACAGGTGAGAAAGAAAATATACAGCTGGTTAAGAGAAACAAATGGCAAGGTGGATGGGGACCTGGAGCCCCAGGTCCTGGTTTGGGTTCTGTACCCAATATGCTCTGTGACCTTGGGATTATCACTCACCCTCTCTGAGCTTCAGTTGTGTCATCTGTGAATCCTTACCTTGCCTGATGGTAGCCATTCCCTTCAGCTTCCAGCACATGCTGGGCTTTGCACTCGCCACTCCACATGCATTATCCCGTTTAATCTTCCAAGTGCACTCTGAGGCTGAGGACACCGGGAACATCTCCCAGGTCACCCACAAAGAGACAGCATTAAGAATTTGCCAAGAATCTCCCAAGTCTGTGTGCTTCCAAAGCCCCTCACTTTCTCTCTATTTGACAATAGGAGGCTTACGTGAGTAACAAGTATAAAAGCCCCAGGGAGATAAAACTGTCCCTTCCACCAGTGAAAGGTGGCTGAATTCTACTGATCAGTCCCAGCATTTCTCTGGGGAGTTGTGGGGTGTGCAGAATGTCAGCAACATAACTTCTGCATCTTCCCCCTCTGCACATGCCAAGACGGGGGCAGTCTCCATGAATGGAAGGTAGAGCAGGGGTCTTTGGGGACAGGTGACCACAGACAGACTGTGGTCACCAAGGCTGATGGAGTAAAGACTGCAGGACCTGCTGGCTTCTGCACACCCCATTCTTACCTCCTCTCCAGAGTTAGATGCATTAAGTCAGGCTGTGATGAAACCTGCAGCCACCACAGAGGTTTACGGCCTCGCTTCCCTGCTGGTTGATAGATGGTTGCTTCTGGCCGTCACCTACCCCACCCTCTGATTTTCTATTTTGAAGCTTCCTCAACTGCAGAGAGAATTCTTTTTGTCTCTTGAGGATACTAAAATTTGGTACAAACAGTCTCTGATAATAAATGCTTTTTTTTTTTTTTTCAAGGGATCAAAAGCTCCCCAGACACTTTCAAAGGGAGCCAGGGTGCTTTGGCTATGTCGTGGTGATAGCCTGGAATGCTGAGTGGTACAGGAGGAAGGGAGTTTGAGGACTCAGATGGGGTGGTTTCCAGGCTCCTCTTGCTGAACAGAGGGCAACTGGAAACAGAGTGTCAGAGGATTGAATTCCAGACCCCAGGGCTAAGGGGTAGGAGAGGTCCTCTGCCTCTCCCCAGTGGAGCTCCTAGGGGAGGCTCCAGCAGCTGTGAGTGGCTCTGCCTGGAGGAAAGTGGCAGCCTGGGGTGTGGTGGGTACATCTGAGGGTAGTAGTTGGTACTCTGGGCAGTTCCAGGCTTGGAGGAGAAGCTCTGAATGCTGAGGGTTGCCATGGCCACTGGCCTGAGTGGGCAGCTTCCAAACAAGGTGAATACCCCTTCCTCTCCTCAGGGTCTCCCCAAACAAGTAAGGAGGCAGCCAGCCAGCTGCCTCCAGCCCCTGGGCAGCCCCAGCTCTCCTCTTGAGCCAAGTCTGGACTGGCTCTAGCCTTCAGCATGGTGTCTTTGTGTGCCATTATTACCCAACCGGCTGGACTCTTGTTAGAGGGGCTAGGGGAGGAAGGCATATGGCACAACCCAGAATATCCTTCTCCTTTTTTTTCATGATGTGGGGTTATGGGCATGAACTTTGAGCCAGGCACACCTGCATCTCAATATTATTATTCTCAGATATGTTTTCCGTCCTCTGTATTTACTCTCGTTTTCTCTGTAACACGTTACCCAACCCTTTAGAGACTTAAAAACAAAAAACAACTCAGGAGTTTGAGGATGCAGTCAGCTATGATTGCACTACCCTGGGCAACAGGGAAACCCCATCGAGAGAGAGAGAGAAAGAGAGAGAGAGACAGAGAGAAAGTCTTAATTAAAAAAAAATCTCACAGTTTCTATGGTGAGGAATTTAAGAGTGGCTTTCCTGGTGGCTACAGGTGTTGCATGAGGCTTTGGTAAACACAGCTGAAGCTGGAGAATCTGCTACCTTGACAGCTCACTTCCCTGGCCATTGATAAGAGGCCTCAGTTCCTCATCACATCAGCCTCCCCATGGGGCTGCTTGGGTATCCTCATGGCATGGTGGCTGGCTTCCCCAAAGTTAGCTATCTAAGAAAGTGATGGAAGCTTCCATGTCTTCTCTGATGTAGCCTCAGAAGTCACACACCCTTGTTTCCACCACATCCTATTGGCTACTTGGGTCTATTACATTACATTGTAACCATTACATTGGTTATATGGTTCCACATCCTATTTGATGTGGGAGGTCACGGCAGGACACGAATCCCAGGGGGAAGGAACACTGAGGAATACCTTGGAGGCTGGCTACCATATTCTTTTTGGGTTTCACTTTTCTCTATCTGGGGATAATAACCATACCTACTTTGCAGTATTATAATGTGGAGTAGTGGTAATAGAAATACCATCAGTCATGGCACTTGGCACAGAATAGACGCTCGACAAATTATGATCTTCCTTCAATAGCCATATAGTGACTGATATTGTTACCTTTCACTGACAGAATAGCCCCTCGGCTACCGCATTGCAAACATTATTCTAGTGCTTTATCCTCATTTGCTTATTTAATTCCCACAACAAACCCCAAGAAGCAGGTTTTATTATCACCTTTGTTTTCCTCACAGAAACAGGTCTGGAAGCTGGTGAGTGTGGAGATAGGACTCAAACACACACAGCCTGACTTCCAAACCCATACTGTTTACCCCTAAGCCCAAGAGGCCCCTCCTCTGAGAAGCCTTTTTGGAAGCATCTTTTATTACAAGCCTAATTAATGGCTTCCTTCTCCCTGCTTTGTAGATCCAGGTGGACATGAACTGGCATAGGAACATCTGGCTTGCCCACTTCCTCACTGTGTGACCCTGGACACATTTCTTCCCTCTCTGATCCTAAGATTCCTTGTCTATGAAATAGGGACACGAATCACACCCCAGGGCTGTTGAGAGGATGGAATGAGAGCCCATGAAATCACCAGTCAAGTGGAGATGCCCAAGAAAGTCACTCTGTGTTTGCAATGACCTGACCTTTTCTTGATCTTTGTTTTGTTTTGTTTTGGTTTTGAGACAGGTTCTCACCAGGTTGCCCAGGCTGCTCTTGAACTCCTGGGCTAAGTGATCCTTTTGCCTCAGCCTCCCGAGTGCCTGGGACTGAAGGCATGCACCACTGTACCCAGCCCCTTTCTTCCACCTTGTTCCTTTCAGTGTAACAAAAGTGGTACTGGTTGCCTTTGGGCGCTCAGTGATAGGATCCAGTAATAAAGACTCTCAGTCATGCCTAAGCCTAGCACCTGCAACTTGACCTTGGATCAAACTGATTGGCCTGGACAAGTGGCTGAGTTTAGGGGAGGGGAGAAGGAGACCCTGCACCCCAAGATTCTAGTTGGTGGGTGGTGGTTCCAAAACTGAGCATAAGAACAAGGAGGAGACAGGAGGTGGGGTCCTGAAAGCCCTGTGTGTGACCCTCTTTCTGTTTAGGTCTTTGCCCACTTCATGGACTATGACTCAGGCACCTTATCAGAGTCATTTCTATCTCAGTGCTTCACTGGCACACCTTGATCTACAGTAAGCACTTATGTGGGACGTCACTTGGGTGACAAGCACTTACATAAGATGTCATACAGGTGATGGGCATTCATATAGGATGACATGGAGGTGGTGAGCACACACTTATGTAGGATGGCACATGGGTAATGGGCACTTACATAGTATGTCACATAGGTGGTGAGCACTTATATAGGATGTCACATGGGTGGTGAGCACTTACATAGGATGGCACATTGGTGGTGGGCACTTACATAGGATGGCACATTACAGATGGATATTTACACCGGATGGCACATTAGTGATGAGTCCTTGCATAGGATGGCACATTGGTGATGGGCACTTATGTAGGATGGCACGTTGCTGGTGATCACTTACATAGGATGGCACATTGGTGATGGGCACTTATGTAGGATGGCACATTGCTGGTGAGCACTTACATAGGATGGCACATTGGTGATGGGCACTTATGTAGGATGGCATGTTGTTGATGGGCACTGATGTAGGATGGCACATTGGTGATGGACACTTACATACGATGGCACATTGTGGTGAGCCCTTGCATAGAATGGCATGTTGGTGATGGGCACTTATGTGGGATGGCACATTGATGGTGGGCACTTACATAGGCTGGCACACAGGTAATGAGCCCTTACATAGCATGCCATGCACTTGGAGTCAGGCAGAAAAGTGCCTCTAACCTCAGTTTCCAGATCAGCCAAATGAAGAGTTTAAGGTACACCAACCTGGCACTGGGCAGTCATGAGCATTCAGTGAGACAGTGCTTATGTAGCACCATGCTGGGCCCTAGATAGCATTCAGTAGATGTTAACTCTAATAATAGCAATGATGGCCATCATTAAATGAGCCACTGGATTCTGCTCAGTGGTGAGGAAGCAAGGGGGAGACTCTGGCAGCCTTAGTCTTGCCACTCTCCTCCTTCTCTTTCTTCTTCCCTAGGATCCTGAATACAAAGTGTCCCTTTCTTTGGTTGGAAAGCCAGTTGCTCCAGGCCTCACAAGGGCAGCCAGGCCCCAGGCCTCCCAGCAGGAATCCTCCTGGTAGACAAGGCCTTGCTGTGACCTTTCACCCTTTGGCCTGTGGGTGAAGGACCATTAACCAAACTGCCTTCCCTAGTCTTTTGTGGAGGAGAGTCCTTTGTCCAGCTGTCCTCTAAAAATAAAACATGTGGAGTGATGGCTGATGGCTTCTATCCCACACTACATCTGAGTGCTGTGCCACCATCTTTGTTTGACCAGCCTTTTATCATTTATAAAATTCTTTCAGTGTGCAATCTCAGGTCTCCTGAGAGGTTATATTTCTTGCCCAAGGTCACTCAGCTGGCAAGTGGCCGAGACAGGACTGGCTCATGGGTCTTCCAATTCTCTAACTTATCTCCATCCACTCTCCCAGGCTGCCATGCAAGAGATAGAAGGGGGTTGGGGTGGGTTGGAGGGACCAGTTAGATTTGCCCCATGTTTGCCGCATATTCCTTAACTAGGTAGGATTTCTAGAAAAAAACAAGGGGAAGAGAGTTACTATTTATACTTATCGAACTCTGGTGTGGCTTGTGTCCCCCCAACCCAAAATCTCATCTTGAATTGTAATAATCCCAGGTGGTGGGACCACATATAGATAATATGTGGGGGTGGCTCCCCCCATACTATTCTTGTGATAGGGGGTGAGTTCTCATGAGACCTGATGGTTTTAAAAGGGGCCTTTCTCCACTCGCTCTGCCTTTCTCCTTACCGCTCCCATGTGAAGAAAGACATGTTTGCTTCCCCTTCCACCATGATTGTAAGTTTCCTGAGGCCTCCGCACCTGTGCAGAACTGTGTGTTGGGGTCCGGCACGTCTGCTGGGGGGACCACCGACCTGCAGGAGTCCCCAAGACCGCCAACGTAGATGTCTCGTTCAACCTGAGGGAGAGAGTGCGCGGAAGTGAAAGAAAATAGAAAAGCGGAGTCTTGAGGGCTGGCTTAGGCTATGTCCAAGCAGCAATTTTATTTTTGCAATATGTTTCCTTATATACTTTTCTGAAGTCAAAGTTGTTTACACCAGATCAACATACTTAAATTACAGTAAGCAAGTTATGCCCACTAAGTTATGCCCAGTAAGTAAGTTAATCCCATTAAGTAGGTTACGCCCAATAAGTAGGTTACTTTCAGTAATTAGGTTACGCCCAATAGATCAATGTAAGTAAGTTACAGTCATGCCCAGTAAGCTATGGGAAGTAAGTTACAGTTACACCCAGTAAGTTACGGTAAGTAAGTTACCAAGTGTAAATACTTAATA